AGACTGGTTGGCGGCTGTAAGGTCGCCAATTTCTTTACCCGAACGCCCAATTTGGGCAGTCAAGGACTCAATTTTACGGATTTTTTGCTGCAGGTCATGTCTTTGGGCGGAGCAAAGGCTGTTCACAGCTAAAGCAGCCTCCCTCATGCCCACAATCCTACCAATCATCACTTGAGCACTGTCGATTATATCTTGCCGGTCAATTCGGTCAGGCACTACCACTTGTAGCTCAGGATGAGGAAAGGTAGTTTTCAAATCGGTCTCCGATAACTTCAAAATTTGTTAGAGAGAAACAGAGGGTGTTAATGGGACACCTTCGAAGCTCGCCGTAGCAGACTCCCCCACCCCAGTCGGAATATTAGCTGTCGCCATTGTGTCACTGTCAGGAGCACCCGAAAAACTCTCCATACCAATGAAAGAACCATCTCCTGACTGACCAGAATCAGTCCGCTCAACCCTAGCCACCTTCAGGCCCTGTAACGAGTTTAAGTCCCTTTCAGCAACCCGTTTCTGTCCGGACTTTCGTGGCCCAGTAGAATCGTTATCACCTAAAGAAGGATTGGGCGCCGCACAAGAAACCTCCACCTGCTTCCCCTCGGGAGCAGACCTTTTGACCGCCAAGATCTTCTTGGGAGGTTGAGGATCCTTTATAACTATACTGCCACTTCTTTTGGCCAACACCTCGGCGGGAATGTCGGATGCAGAACGCAGTTTGGTCTTAGCAACCTGCACTAACTTTCGCTTGCCTCTATCTCCTCCCTTTGTTTGGGTGGTTGACGCAGTGAATGGAACACAAGGTGGAGCCCCGCCACTCCCGCCTCGAACCTTTTCGGCCGCCTCACGAGCAATAGCCAGCGCATCCATAGGCAAACTCTCGACTGCAGAATTAAATTGGAAGTTACATGTTAGTATATAAAGAAAAGTTGAAGGTAACCAAGAAGATTAAAACAAAGAATGGAATAAAGAAACGCCAGGTTCTCGTCACACCTCCATAACACAAAACCCTTTTAGTAGGCCAAGGGCTAAAAGATTCTTTCGTCCTATGTTCAATAAACCAGTTAACTACCAGCTTGTCCTCAGGAGACAAAGCCCCATAGTTATACGAGTAATGATTAGCAGGGAGCTCGTAATGCTGCTTGGACCAATACAGCGGAAAGCGACTTGTACCGGTTTCCCGGTCCACAAAAAATGGAACCCTACCCTCCTCAAGGCTAGGTTGCACCCAAAAGAATGTTGACCGCCACTTCTTATAAGAATCCGCATATGTGGTGAACATCACGCCCAACGGTGTCGCCGCCTTTACTGAGACCCAGCCCAGTTTCTTTTTAGAAGAAGATACCTGGAAACAGTAGAAAAACAACCGCACGGAATACACCCACCCAAAGTGTTGGCAAACTTTGGCAAACACACGCATGAACCCCCAGGCATTGGGGTGCAACTGCGAAGGCGCAACCCTTAGATGAGATAGCACTCCCATCTCAAAAACAGTAAAGGGAAACCTAACTTTCTGGTCTGTGAAATGAGTCTTATAAGTTAAAAAACGCCATTGAGAAATCGCCTTGGGGCCAGGTTTGTCACAAACTCGAGTGTCTGAACTCACAGACTTAAAATCCCACTTGTGGTCATCAATTCCCCCCTCGGTAAAGTAAAAATTCTCCTCATTTTCGTAATCTCTTACCAAAGCGGTACCCTCAGCATAACAAGATTCCGCCTCCAAAACGTCATCATCCACCCAGTTACGCGCCAAATAGCGCTCGCTAGTTTCCACAATCGCCATGCGCCGTTAGAATCTCGGCTATTAGCATACCTGGGATGAGGGTTAAACACAGTCAAACGCCAAACACGATAGTCGGCATCAAAGAAGATTACAAGCTTACAATTGACAAATTACTCGTGGCTCGCATCTCACCCTCATGCCTCACACACAACTCACAATACAGCCTCATAACTCACGCAATGCATATTTCACTCTCTACGCCGTTAGTACTTGCCCTACAATAGAATAAACCTAGCATCGCTACATATTCAAGGAGGAAAGTTACCTGGAGAGTCTGAAGTTTCGGACTCAGATGTGTAAAAATCTGAATGTGTAAGAGGAGAGGGCCACCAGGCGGGTGGCACTTTGTACAATTCTATGTCATCAAAGATTGCATCCCATACGCCATAACGAGTGAGCCGAGCATCTTCGGGATGAAATCTACCCAATCGGTTGTCGGTTGACTCATCGTACATGCGGCGATGAAAAGAATTGGACATCGGAGGAATATAACTATTTGAGGTGCGTGAGGCGACTGGTGGATTAACTCTGGGATAGTATGTATGTAGTGAATGAGATTGGATACGCGTTTCCATTGGGCGATACCGTGAATCACGGTTGATAGAAGATACTGGGCGAATAAGTCGCCCAGCACCAAAGGACGAACGCCGCGACGAACGGCGATAAGATGAACGATTGGAGGACCTCATGAACCTACCCTGAGGAAAGTGATAAGAAGGCTCACACCGACCCCCCTCAGAGGGGCAACTACTAACCCTACTGGCACGACTACTAGTCCCGGAAGCTTCACCAGAATAGGGAACCACATCCCCCAGAGCTCTCTCCGGCAGAAGGTCTAAAATCTCACTCTCACTGAAACCTAACAACTCAGGTACCCTACCGTAGGGTAAAGAACTAACCCCAGGAACTAAAGGGGTATGAGAGAGGATATTATCACCACTCCAGAGAGGGCGATTGGCAAGATACCTACGCATAGCAGGTCCTACCTCAATACTGTCAAGTGAATCAAACGCCTCATCAAACTCCTCCTCTTTAATAGTTCCTCCCAACCCAAGTAACTCCTCAGCCGACATCTCACTAAACCTAACCATAACTGATGGAGGAAAGCAGAAGCAAGAAATAAAATCTCAAGGTAAAGAGAAAGGAGCGAAGAACAACATACCTGTAACTAAGGAGTTTCCGAAAGAAGGAAGAAAAGAACGGAGTCCTAACCACCAGAAGTTCTTACACAGGAACAACAGAACTAGAGAATGTGCAGCAAAAAGTAAAACCTCAAAAGCCCAATAGAAAGCTGCGAGGATTAACACAAGCGAGAAAGGAGAAAGCTGGGTATGAACAACACCAGAGATTGACGAAGGTTGCAGAGAAAGTTTATGAGATATTGAAAGAAGTGAATAAGAACAAGGTTAATGTTTTTATAAGAGAAAAAAGACTATTCATCAACGTACGCGTGGAAGGTCAATCAAGGGTAACCGCCAGATCGTGACAACCGTCAAGCAACAAGTGGCCCTGATGGAGGACCCTTAGGTAATTTTGGGGTGACAAGACGAGGCTCACGTCGAAATTAATGCGCCGTACCACGCAACGAAGGGTTTCGTGCAGTTATTGCAATGGCGAAACTGCCATCATTGCAACTCTTCGAAAACCGTAAAATTTAACCGTCACTTTCGACAAGTGTACGACCCATACCAAGCGACACGAACCAAGTATCCCACTGCACTCCCACGATTAAAGACGCCGCCTTATCAACCGTAAGCTCATTCCGATAATTACCTGACGCCCAAGAGAACAATCGTGACATTAAACCCGTCTGACAGCCTATTAACTGGCCATGACCTAGTTCCGCTGATGCCTCAAGGTTATCCCTATAAACAGTGTCGCCTTGGTCAGGCGTTCATGACAACCTATCTTGGCACCAAGCAATGCTTGCTACCAAGCTAGGGGGCTCCTGTTCCGGATGGCTTAACCACATCTGAAGCCTACGGGCCTGTTAACATGGATGGCCCAGTTTCGCAAAGCCCCAAACAGCCTAGGCCCAAAACCCCAAGTTACACACACGTCAGCCCTACCGGTTGGCCCTAGACGCCTGTCCTAAGGCAGCTCACCTCCCAAGGTAAGACACCAAAATGTCTTACCTTGGAACCCCATATGCTCTGCGGATCGCCCAGAGACCATAAGTGAAAACCGCCCTGCTGCCGCATGCTGACACCGCCCAAGAGCAGATTCTGTATCACAGCAGTACCAGGCGTGTCAGCTCCTCACAACGAATCCCAAGGAGCGTTGACCTCCAATACGTAAGCCCTAACGGATCAGCCTCCAGGACTCCTATAAATACCACCCTTGGGCACAAGGGAAATGGATCTTTTATGTACTGTTATTATGCCCATTTATTTCTAAGTCATATTCTTACTGTTTATCTGCCATTAGTATCTGCTTGCATTCTCTTGGAATAATACCTTCTAGCCTGGTCTTTACCTCAGCTAGGGGTATTACCCATATAATAACATTACCCTCAAAGGGTACATAGTGGGCTCACAGAACTGAACGGTACAGTTTCTAAACCTATTTATATTCCCCTGAGCTTTGTAATGAATGCAAAAATATAATATATATTACTAGACATATCCACATCGACTGAACAAAGATAAATGTGTATCTTCACTTTTTCCCTTTCTCTCATTTTACTTACGATTGTGTGTATAATTGTTTAATCCTAACATTTGATTAAAAACTTTGATTCTACGATTAGAGTTCATGTCACGGATTGATATTTCATTATCAAAAACTAAAAAACAGTAAGTAAATCAATATTTCATTTTTTTAATTATTGAAATAATTAGTCATTTTATTTAAAATAAATAATACAATATAAATAAATAAGTCAAAACTTTTAAAAATAAATTTATGACTTGTATTTTGAATATAGGTTTCATTAGACCTAAGTTTATTTTATTTTACCAACCAAGCAATGCCAAATCATAGGTATCGGTAGCTGATTTACACCAAGCACGGAAGTAAATCCTCTCATATTAAAAAAAAAATAACATTATTATATAAGGAATCATAATCATACAAAAATAAATCAATAATAATAAAAGAAGCAAAAAAATATTAAAATAAATAGTTAAAAAATCATAACCGTTAATTTATCTTTATATGATTGTAATTTTCTCACGTGATTATATTATTATTATTTTTAACATGAGAAAATATGTTTGCAATTGACACCCTGGGGACCTCTCCTAAATCCCACAAAGCAGAAAAAGAGAAGGGCATAATTTGACGTAGCAGTAGATTCAACCTTAAAAATTACAATTGAAAGGGAACAAACTTGTGGAACATACACCGCATTTATTTTACCACAAATTCAAAGATAACAGAGAAAGAAAAAGCCTATACTTTCTGCTATCTTTTCGAGTACAACAGGTTGAATTGCTGACTCTATATACATAAAATGAAGCCTATGACTTTCCAAGGACAATTGTAACTCTACGTCCTTGATTCTTCATGATCCTTGATGACCAAAATAATACCTTAATACATCACATTTGGAGAAGATTATTCACCGTAACTGTCACAGAATTTGTCCGCTGCAAGTCCTGCAGTATCAAACCCTTTAGATTCTAAAATATATTACATCAATTTACATAATAAAATTAAGGACCAAAATAAAAAAGTAAACCGCTTCAACTATAGGTTGATTGCATGTCAACTTTAATATATGGAAAATACACCTTTGAAATCAGTGTATTCCATACAAAGTCAGTCAATGTTTTTGATAGCAATCTATTAACAGGATATCCACATGATAACACAATCAAGAGTTATTAGAAGTTCCCCCACGAAAATAAAAGAATTAAATTTATTTACAGATAACACATTAATTTAGATAAAAAGAAATAAATGTCTAGATTTTCAACAAGGTGCCAACATCGAAGCTTCCATTAGAGCTCCTTCATCAGCACATCTCTGAAAGTCCAACAACCAAACTAAATTGAAGACATGACCCGAAATCCTTTGCAACATTGAGGCTCAGTACATCAGCCCTCCTTTGTCATTTCTTTGAACCCCAATTACCTAAACCCGCTCAACCCCACTCATTTATCCATCTGTCTTACCCTTGCCATCAATGAAACCCTAAATGCTTGTTTCTCTCAAAATCTTTCTAAACAAAGACAAAGATCCATTAAAATAGAAGCCCTATAGGTTTTGATCCCCATGGTTTCAGCTGGTGAGACAACAGAAGTACCCTCTCTTATATTATATATTATTAGCAAAGTTGTCTCGTTTCAAGGATCAATATGTATGGGTTCAGTCATTCTGATGTGCCACACGGAGCCTTCAAATATACAGTAATTCTGAAGAATGAGAGGCTCAGCGTGCCGGAGTGACTATTATTATGGAAGGAATATTGTTAAAATATTTAGAATATCTAGATGATATAGTAAGATATGAAGATTATATCTTAATATAATTTAGAATATCCTAGAGGATCTCTTTGGATTAGTTTTCTTATTTTTTCTTATATTTCATGATCTGTTTCCTTATTTTAGAAACCCCGGACTTAGAACAAATCAATGTTATTAAACTTGGGACAGTCATTGAATCAACTGGGACACTCGGTCACCAAATCAACCGGTTAAACCGAATTATATAGAACTATGTAATAAGTATAAGGGGTTTGTTTTTCTCATATTGCATGAGAAAACAATCCCTTCCTACACACACCATAAAAAGGTGTGCCACTCATTTTTTTTGTTTTTTGTTTTTTTTTAAATAGGTGGGTCCCACACTTAATGTATCTATGACATGATATTAGAATTCTCCTACAACATAAGATTTACTTTTCCCCAAGTTATAATAATAAAAAAAAATTAACAACAAAGTCCTTGTAGCCTAGTGGTAAGTGTTGCTGCCAACTATCAACAGCACATGGATTCAATCCTTGGAGAATGTAAGACTCAAAATATTTTAGGCAAAATTTCAAAAGCCGGTTCATTTGAAAAACCAGTACCAGTTGGACCACGGTTAATAGTCATCCACCAGGTTGACTACACAACCGATCCAATCCGCTGACTAAATCAAACTGGTCCATGGTCCAATTCACTGTTGAACCTCCCTGTCGAGCCTGTCCGGTTTTCATAACAGTGGTGTAAATAGAGAGTAGTGCTTTGTTTTTTTATCACATCAAACAACTCTTAACACACAATACTGAGTCTCTATTACTCTATCTTTTATCCTCAACCTATGCCGAAAACTATATAATTCCAATATGATATCAAAGCAATTCCAACCTCCGCGACTTATCCCATCACCTTTTCACTGCCGAGTTCCCTAAAATTCGAAACAACATGTTAACTACTTTTTGCATCAACCTTTCTTTTACTACACCTCAAGTAATGATCCGTCCCTATCTCTTTGTAGTATAGTCATTCTGGCAACTTTCTCTCAATCATCTGCTATTGCCCCCCCGTTGTGTCGTCATTCCGGCATCTTCCAACCACTATTTGTGACTTTTTCCACCAACCGAAAATTATTCTAGCGACTTTTACAGCAACCAGAAAAATTTCAAGCTACCTTTGACGGAGAGACAGAGAACAGGCAGACATTCAGTAAGGTTAAAAAAGGCCTTTGGGCTGGAAGGTTTCGCAGACCATCAAAGCTCTATTGTTTCAATCTCTAATTTTTTTCCCTTACCGTATATGAGTGGTGCAATCCATCTTCCATGCGCCTTGATATGCATCTAATATCAGTAGGAGAGGTGTGCATGTGAATATCACTAATACAGAGATTTTATCTTTGCAACCCTATGTGTTGTATTATAAATCAGATAGGATCACACGATAATTGAGAAGGAAATCGTATGAGTTGTATTATAACTCAAGATAACAGTGTGATATCTGGTTCAGTATATCTGTATATGGTAATTACAAGCAAAAATGGAAAGAAACTGATAATCCAGAGCAATCGTGAGGCTCTGGTATCTCCCAAGACTAGCCACAACAACTAACAAGATGCCCCACACTCCCTTCTCTCCTCTCCCTCCAAGCTGCTGTAACAGCTTTTCCTGCCAAGGGTAGTTCACATGGCCTTGGCCTGCTTAGGGGCATGATTCTTTACCCATCTCTCCTCGCATACACCAAAGTAATGGGTTGGTTCCTCTACATAATAGACTTGTTTATTACATCAATTACTTTCCAATATCACAGACTTCGGTGAAATTAAATAATATTTTACTTGGAGGAAAGTCAAGATTAACAGACCACTATAAGTGCACTTCAAGAGAGATGGGGCACCAACCTGACATGTTACTATCACAGCATCTTAAAGTACAAAGTTACATCATAAACTGCACTTATTGGCCATCATCATGCATTCTCAATATTAAATGCTCAGACAAAATTACTACCACAAATGGAATTATTTTTGAAGACTAAGGCACATGATATAATGCAAAAAATCCATAACATACCTGGAATATTATGTCATCTGGAATATGAGGTAGAACCTCCCGAACAGTATCAGCCATAGCAAGTATATTTGCCACATTATCATTTGCAGAATGTGATGCAGTCCTTATATGTAAACTACCAGTTCCTCCTGGCAATCTTCCACCAGGGGAAGGAATGTTTGCACCACTTGTAGAAGCCTGAGAAGGATTAATAGGCCAAAGGCTCCAAGCAGCATCTTCAAAGGCGGTCTGAGCATAGGTTTCTCCAACAGCTGCAAGATGCCTCATCATCATTTGAACTCTTCCCAATCCAACAGTTCTGATAGCAGTAGATGGACCAGCTCCATCAACACCTTGATTGGGCCAAGAATGCAACCAACCCGAGTCCAGTCCTGCACCCCTAGATAAGAAAAATTAAAATCAGTAAAAATTGTGCCTCAATACATACAAGATAACAAATCTATAAATTTTGAGTGCAGTAGGTACAAATAAGGTTCTGAATAAAAAGTAAAAAAGGGTTATCAACCGCTCTTTCCTTACAATAAATCAAGTAAGAAGAGGTTACATAAATAAATCGTATCATGAATATATTTCCATAAACAGTTCTTGAGATAATATTGCAGTCACTATCCTTTAGTCATCTTGATCCACGAACATATCCCCTTTTACATAGTCAGGGACAGCTAAATTTTCTCCGTGCAATAAAAGTTAGGAATGTGAAATAATAGTATAATTTGGGGCTGATGGAAAGGCATAGATTTTTGAATTTTCTGGCTCTTATTCTTGTCCTTCTTACAGTATTTGATCTGTAACCCAACTGCTAACAATGTCTCTTACAAGTCCTTTTCAATGATAAAGTCTTCCAAGACAACCCCCCCTTCTCCCCTCTCCCCCCAACAATTTTTTACAAATATCTGTTACAGCACAGACTCGTAGGCCTAAATATCTTTTTTTTTAAACATAAGGAAATATAAATATAAACAACAGACTAACTGCTACACAATCTAGGGAGACCTACTCCAACTAAGTCCATCTTCAGAAACCGCAAGCATCCTTCTGGAGGTTCCTCGAAGTGCTGAAGATCCCAGTTGTAATTGTATGCTTTTGACGCTAGCCAGTTGCAATTGTAGGCCCAAATATCTGCGTCACAGGTTTCCAGATTTCAGAGCCAAATAATGGCCTGGCTACACCTTCCTATTGATTCACTTTCCGTATTCATTTCAGAGGTTTTGGTAGAAGGAAGGAAAACAAGGCCCTAGCAGTGTCCTCCTTTTACAGGATTGTGGTGTTTATTGATAAAGCAAACATAGTTCACAGATATCCAGTAAAAATTTCATTTTATGCACCTTTCATCCAAAGAGCTGTTTTATTGGCTTCCTCAAGGATTTCAGCTCATAGTATTTAAAGGGGTATTTATTAGATTCTACAGAGAGATTGAGGAGCTCTATCAAGCTGATATTTTCCCTTCTCTTATTTGTTTTTGTTTGTGGTAGTGCTAGGAGGATTTTGTATCCTCTTTACTTGTACTTATTAACTGTTAAAAACTACCACTCTAACAAATAAAAAACAACAGCAAGAAGCAATAAAGAAACAGGAGACCATGTAGCATTGAGTGTGAAGATTGAACCTCCAAGGAACACCTTCAGCAGTGTTCGGTGGCTGATTTGGATACAATCCTGCAGGCATGGTATGTCTAGCAGAGTTTGACCGATCAAATCCTGCACTTATTTGTCGGGCAAGTTGCTCATCACTAGATATTTCCCCCATACTGGAGTTTGTTTCATTTTCGGGCCGGCCTGCAAAAAGTGGCTTCCGGCATGTTGGACAAGTATACATCTCAGTCAGGCCTTGATCCAACCTGTAATCAATTTAGCAACCAATAGTATCTCACTAAAACTCACCCAAATTGAAAAAGATAAAAGTCTATAAAATCAACCATACCAAGATCTTAAACATGCAAGATGGAAGAGGTGATTGCAGTTTAGCTTTTTCGCCTTAGCCATGGGTTCCTGTTGGAAGTACAATAAAAATATTATTCAAAAGTATATCCAACCAACACCAAGATCAATCAGAGAGACAGAGGGTGGCAAACAAGCATACTCTACAAATAGCACATTCATCATCATATGCTCTTAGCTCCTCAGTTGTTGCATCAGGAAGAGCTGCATGAAGTGCTCCTAGTGCTATTCTTAGCCTGATGAAGCCTTTTATGCGATTGACTATTGCACTAAGCAATGCCTGCTCCAAACAACATCAATGAATACAATTAGCATAATATGCAAATGTCAGTTATACTTCTATGGATAGTCAAATTCAGGCCGAATTAAGAACAAAATATTTACACGTATATTTAGAAATAGCACTGCATCTACAAGATGGAAAGCCATGCCATGAAGCCGCCATATATACAAGTAATGGCCAAGTGCCATAAAAAATGTTGCCATGTCTAGGAAAAATCCCAAGTTCCGAATAAGAATTCCCTTCCATTCCAATAATGAACCTGCAGTTACACCACTCAATTAGGAAACTAGAATTAATATCATAAGAACAAACACTGGAAAGGTTAATAGGCAGGTTATCACTTACCAAGAAGTGAAAAAAAAAAAAAAAAAAAGAGAGAGAGAAAAAGAGAGAACAAAACTAGATTACAGGAATCACATTATTTCCAGTGTTAGCTATATAACAATAGCAACAAATAACAATAATAAATTAGAAAGAACCCAAGTATTCTGAATCTGAAGAAAGAAAATTGAATAAGAAGTGGCAACACAGCATGTACACTGTCTCCAGGTAATTCTCATATGCCAAAACAACCACCAGCGAGCAAATAGATGTATCCAGGAAACTAAAACAATGAGATGAAGCTTTCCTGTGTTTTCATGCAACCAAATTGTGCCTTAAAAAATCAAGCTTTATATTCTCACGCAGACAAACTGGTAAAGTTAGTTACTTTAGACAAAACAAAGAACTTATGATGCAGAAGATAGCAACTTAATAATATTGCAAACTACCAAAGTAAAGTGATCCGGGGGGAAAACAGAGAGAAAATATAATTATCTAAAGCAGAGAGATGCATATTCTTAATACCCCAATCGTGTTGATGAGTTATCAAGTATAAAAATCAGATTTTTATCCAAACAACCTGCTGTTAATGTGTCAAGCACTTTAGGCATTCGGCAATCACTGCTGTTGCAAGCTGAATGATGAAGCCATATGTCAAGCAACTGAAATCCATGTACCAAAATGGCCTACAATTCATTTCACACAGAAAACAATATCATCACTACCTCATTGGAAGCTGACCAGATGATATGAATGGATCTCAAATCTGCAAAGATGCATTTTAAATACCTGTAGGGTCTCAAAAGCAATACTGAAAGGCTCAAAGAATAGTAACAGAAACAAAGAGGACGCATGTGTTCTATATATCGCCAGACAAAGCCTTATCCTAGAAGCATAAAAGAAGTGTCAGAGGCATTCTGAAGCTATGAAATTACAATACTAATATTGATTGTTACAGCCTTTATGAAAATTAAATCTAAACAGGCTCACAGCAAATCGATTATATTATAAATCCAAACAGAAAAGGCATCAATTCTAGACCCTTGGCTCACCAGAAGTGTACACTTTAGAGACTAGACACATAAAAAGAAGAAATATAGAAAAATTTGAAGAAAAAAATTTAGCATTGTCAACTACTAGGCACCTAATTGTCCAACATATGATAGGTAATGATTAAAAAGAGCTAAAATGGTATTGATCCAACTCTATCCACAAGGCATTGAGAATGTCGTAATAGTCAATCATAGAAAGGGTGCCTGGTTTGGAAGAGAAGATTCTGGTTTTTAATTCACAACAGGTGGCAACATCCTCATCATAGAATAAGTCTTATGGATGACATCTCAAATCACACGGACAGAAGGCAAGAACATGTAGTTCTGACTCACCTCTCCAATCATAGAATTTCACAACTAGGTCATGATAAGCAAGTCTTCATCATCCCATTCATCTAACTTAGAATCTGTTTTGTCAGGGGCTGGCCCTTCATTATGGGTCACCTTATGAGTCCCTTTTGAGGGTAGTCCGAATGACCTAGGACCGTCCAAAATAATTTTTTCCAATGAGGCAGAAAGTCTAATGCAAAACCAGGAGGTCATTAGGGGTGACTAGGAAATGGGCTGGTTGGTCTACGAGAAGGTTTGGGTTGCTTCAGAATCCTATGTTGCACCGACACGGGATACAACACGATACGACATTCTAACACGTTAATTCTAAAAAATGTTAGATTTCAACACGTTACACGTTTTGATATTAAATAATATTTTTAATTTCTTACTGTATATTATATTTAATATTCATACATTTAACAAAAAAATGAAGATAAACTTATAATATCCATCAATTTTACAAAGAAACATAAGATATTACAAATATTTATATTAAACTTAATCGTAATCCAATGAATCTAATAATTGGAACTAAAAACGCAATGCAACACAACCTATCAACCCCTTTTTGAGTCTCTGCAACGCGTGCTGGAGTGTCAGAGAGTATCGGAGTGTCGGTTAGTGTTGGACACGATTCGTCAGGTTTTTTGACGTGTCGGTGCATCATAGTCAGAATCTGGGATAGCAGTCGGAGGCGCACCAAATGGCTAGATTGTGAGCCATAGAAGAGAGGGGAGTCACATGAGATGCCGAATGGACAGACCAAGGGCAGATCTAGACACAAAGGATCACGACAAACCTATGGAAATTGGTTAGGAGCTAGACGGCGGTCAAACACACCGCCACACGGTGTCTAGGCCCGGAAGATGGAGGTGTGTGTGGAAGTGTGTCATAAGGTTGTTGGTGGTGGCCTTTCGATGGTCGAATGATCTAAGGGTGGAGGATTACCAACTAGAGAATTGACAAAGACGAGCAGTGGTCGACGAGGACAGTGGTGGCTAGTAGAGCGGTCACTACAAATGGTGGTCGACAATGGGTCTTCATGGATAGTGACCAATGGGTCTTCAAGGCCAATGAACGTGCAAACAATGGGTCAAGAGTGATGGGCCTCAATGAAGGAAAACTACGGCTTCGTAGAGATAGAGTCTCCAAGATTGGGAGCTTTGATACCAAGTTATGAGAAATTCAGAATATTATTGCTTGAATGGTCATATACTAATATTTAAAATATGTAGACTAACGTTAATAATTGATTTCCTAATAAAGAGTTGATTCTAGGGAAACAAATAAGGAGTAAATCAAACCTATAATCTATCACACGTCTTCCCTATAATCTATCACATCATAATCTGCCTAATAAAAGGAAAAACAAATATATAATAATTACACAATTATGCATTCATTATGTACAACACTTCAATAATAAGCTCAGCACGTATATTAGCAATCCAAATTTTACATTTTATTTTTTTTTTATAATAAATTTTACATTTTCAATCAAGTTTCACTTGCAAGAAGAATAATTATTATGTAGGCTGTTTCTGCAGTACCCTTCATTTTTATTAGTAGCCAATATTTAGCAATGAATCCCATTAAATATAAAAGAAAGAAAATAATTTTGCATTTATAAATCAATTAAAATGGGGCACTTGACTAAAAGACATACTACTTATTGCAAAGGGTACTAAGGGAATCTCCACTATTGTAATAATGATAGTAGCAATGGTAAGAATATGAACAAAAATATTGTTTAGAAAAAAAGAGTAAGCAGTACCAAAGAACATCAACCAAGAAAACGAATAACAATGCTGAGTATACACGAAGATATGTCCAGGGTGTAGCAGACGGAGATGCATTCAGCCGCTCCAAACGATCTCTAGCCAAAGCTTGAAACATCTATGCAACATGTAAAACGTGTCAAAACATGTTAATGAACATTGGTTTTGCTTGTATATATCAAATCTCAACAGAATTATTTCCATATGTTCTCTTTTAGTATAATATATACCTTTAAAGAACAAAGCACAGTCAACCAAGTTGACCAAAGACCTGCCTGATAAATTGTTGGCGGCACAATTAGTGGCAGAAATGTTCCCTGTCCATCCACCATTACATATAAATAACTAAGTAGTGTCAGATTGACTTAACAGAAACTGACAGTTCCCAAATTACATTTAAACTTTTCAAAGTTGACACAATATTAACAGGCTGCTCATAAATGTTTTCCTCAAAACAAACAATATTAATAATTTCATAATGTCGACACGCCGCCATCATGCAATGATGAAAAGTTAAAATTTTGAGATAATTCAAAAGAGAGAGGGAGAGAGAGAGAGAGAGAGATGTTTTCCTAAGCATCCTATCATGTCAAACTGGCTAGCAAAAGAAAAAACATGTGCAGCAACTATCCTTTGTCACTTATGGTTAGATTTGCCACAATATGAGCTGTTTCTCCAAAGATTCCACAATCCACATATCTAAGGAACACAGGCTTTGACCATGTGATCTAGCTTATAAATCTTAGGAGCAATTTCCAAACACCAAACCAACATATCAACGAGAAAATTCTATCATCAAAAGAAGAAAAGAAAGGAAGAGGTGAGAAAAGGATGCCTAATCAATGCAGCAGGACTCAATCATAGTGTGTCAGACATTCTAGACTTAATAATAAAAAAAATATATAAATAAACAATTAATTCGATAAGCTTCACTGTCAACCGATAATCAAAATAAAGTCATGCAGTGCCACTTAAAAAAGAGCAGAAACAAAAAAGCAATAACCTTGTAAATGACATAATTAATGACACGCTCAATCAGTTTACGAGTTTCCGAAGAATACAACTCCGTGAAGAACACAGCCTGCAAGTAAAAAGAAGGACCATAAACAGTAAGAACAATGTCAACTGACAAAGGGAAAAAAGAAAAAAAAAATATTATTTATAATATCTTGAACAAAATCATGGACACCCTTGCATACTAGATTACTTAGAAAGTAAAGAAAGCGAGCAAAAGCAGCATAAACTGAACAATGTGTGAAGCATAGCTGTCACCCTTTTCTAACATTAAGCATGTTTGAAGGCAGTAAAAAACAAATGATGATAATTGACAATCACAATTTTCAGAAACCTTGTTTTCTTATTCTTATATCAACCCCTTTGCCCAAGGGGGGGAAAAAAAACAAATGCAAATCACACTCAAGCACCTGGCCTTTCTACTTTAAAGCTACTTATCTCATCCTCTATCCTAGTTTGTAATGAAGCAGGAGAAACTCTGCAAATAATGTTAATAACACGGCTATATAGATTATATTATACACATCCTCTGCCAGAAGCACTGAACATATGAACTACCACAGATCAACATCATACATTGGCATAATCCCCAAAGCTACTTCTCAATACAACAAACTCACCTTGAGACAAAGACTGAGAAGGATAAATACATTGATCATGCAATTCACCAGTAGAAATGTGGTTGTGTACAAACCCAGAGGTAACTCAATGTCATGGTCAGCATTGTCCAAATGTATTAAATTCCAGCCAATTAGTCCATCTGATTTAAGTTTATCTAAGGACAAGTCTGTGCAAAACTGCAGACCCACAAAGCTTAAAAGCGTGGAAACTGCAGAAATCGCTATAAACTTCAAAGCCATTAGTAATAACTTCAGCCTTTCTACTAACACCAATCTCCTGGATTTTCATCTGACTTTAATTATTGCCGTCCTTTGCCCATCATAAATATGGTTCAAAATCCAATGGAACCAGAGGGCAAAGTTTATAAATCAGCTTAAAACGCCACCATCACCTATTTACCTTCTCATCTCAGGTCACCAGATGAAATAAGATACCCTAACAAAGAAAGAAAGAACAAGTGATCAGTTAATATGCTACCAAAAGTGAGTAAAAAAAATTCAAAATAGAAAAATCTTAACCCAGCGAAAGTAATCCAACAACTCACTTCCCAGAAACACACTTTACACAACCAAAACAAAAAGGTAATTTCTAATTTGCAACCACTAAGAGGTCGTTTGTTTCGGATTTTAAAAAAAGTAATTTTTATCACTTCCTTATTTTAAAAGTACTTTTTATAAAAATTAAAGCTATTTATATTTTTATAAAACTATTTAGTTTTTGAAAAAAATATTTGGCTTTTGACTTCTGCTTTTCTTAGAAGTTAAAATTTTTAGCTTCTGAAAAAAAGTAAGTTTTTGACTTTTTTTGTAACTTCTCCTTCTTTTAAAAGGAGATATCCAAACGAACTAAAAGCGAGAAGTGCTTTTTTTTTTCTTTAAAAAAAACAGCAAGAAGAAAAAAAAGTTCATCCAAACGGGCCCTAAATCAAATGCAGCAACCAGAATTAGCACATGTAAATTTCAATTTTTCCTAGAAGATTAACAATACCCAAAATTGTAATATGAATTCAATTTCATTTCCTAATCAATAACAACAGGAAAAACGAAATTGATACAATCCGGTTTCTCCCATACACACAAAATCCACGCACTCATCAATGAGATATCCGCTAATCCTGCTCCAAATTGTAGAAAACCCTAGAATCATGCTCCCAAAAAGATTGAGAATTTGCAACGAAACGAGAAAACCCAACAAACCCAAATCGATCATGAAATTCAACGGGTAATAAAGGGGGAAAAACATAATTTTTTCTGTCACGAAATGAATAAATGCATAAGCAAAATTCAGAAAAAAAGGAATGAAAATGAAAAATGAAAAGAACCCGAACCGATCTAGGAGAAGGGTAATGGAGCGAGGGTTGGGGTTTCTGCAATAACCACTCGCATCAGAATCAAGACAGAGACAGGATAGAGAGGAGGAGAATTTAGGAAGAGAGAGAAAGAGACAATATATATACTCGTGTTAATAATGCTGCGGGAAAAAAAAAAAAAAAAAAGAAGGAAAGTGTGACAATCAAGTTGTGTTATTACACTACCAATTAATTTTACTGTTACATCGATTATGTTGATCCAACGGTTATATTTATTTTCATCTTTGTATGGTTATGATTTCTCATATTTAAAGTGAAAGCATTAAATATGGGAAATCATAATCATATAAAGGTAGAAATAAATATAAAGTATTAAATTTGGGAAACCATGACCATACAAAGATAGAAATAAATATAACTGTTGGATAACATAATCGATCTAACATTGAGATTAATTTGTGGTCACTTTGTCGTAACACAACTTGGTTGTCACAATATCCTTCCCCAAAAAAAAAATTATAAAAAAAGGACAGGATATACTTACCACCAAAAATGTTTATCACATTTACAATCAATCTAATCACCGTTCATTTCCGTCAATCTAACTGGTATAATTTATTAAGAATTATAATTAATTAATAAGTACAAATCAAAGTATAATCGTTAGATTGACGGAAATCAACGATGATTAAGTTGATTGTAAAGGTGATAAACATTTTTGGTGGTAAGATAGCGCATGACAACTATTCTGATTCCTGGCACTATTTCTGAAAAGAAATGATTCTTTTCTATTTCTGTGCCTTGGAACAATTCTGAGAATCAGAATTACGTTTGTTAACATATATTTTATTTTTATTTTGAGAATCAGAATTACGTTTGATAAGACAATAAAAATCTATTTCTTTACTTTTGTTTATAGATTTCATCAATTGTATAAAATAGTAAAAGAAGGGGAAGGTTGTTATCAAAAAAAAAAAAAAAAAGAAGGGGAAGGTTAAATTAAAATTCTGAACATATGGATAACTTCAGTTCTTGTATTTATAATGGGAAAACTTGTTTTGACCTAATTTATGTTGATTAGTAGCTTATAATTATGTATTTCGTGCGACATATATTTATAAAATTAAAATTATATTTATTTTTCCGTTAGTTGATAGATTTTGAAGAGAGAAAAAAATGCAATTTTAATATTATAGTTATATACTCTCTGGAATATATAGTTATAAGTAGCTAAAAGGACATAACTTTAATATTATAAAGAATAAATACTATTTTTGGTCCTCAGCAAATTTCACGATGCCCGTTTTAGTCCCTAGCAAATAAAAAGCCCATCGTGGTCCCTAAAAAATTCAAAATAGACCCATTTTAGTCCTTTTAGGGACTAATATGGGTCTTTTTTGAATTTGTGAGGGATCACGATTTCAACTAAATAGGTCCATTTTGAATTTTTTAAGGGATCACGATGGGCCTTTTTATTTGCTAAGGACTAAAACGGGCATCGTAAAATTTGCTGAAGACCAAAAAGAATATTTATTCTATTATAAATGGACAAACCATTTTTCCATTTTTTTCTCTTTTGTGTCATTTTGAATGACACATACTTTTTTCAAAGTATAGCATTCAACCCTTCATAGTGAACTTTCATGAGTGTTACTTTATTTAATGTGTTGTTTTACATACTTATTCAGTGTAAAATATTGAGTATTGATTTATACTAAATATATATATATATGGATCAAGATTATTTTACATCGGTGTAAGATTAATACGTCTTACACCACATCTAGATTATTTTATATCGGTGTAAGACTGATAAGTCTTACATCATATCTTAATCATTAATTTCCGTGCATCCATCGGTTATAATTTAGGAAGTCATACGAATTAATTAATATTAATTAATCATTAATTACATTACAAATACCAACTGATGATTTCTGTCCATCCACCAGTGTTGTTAAACTCGACCCGGGGCTTCGACCCGATCAGGGTATTGGGTCACTGGTCGGATCGGTTGACCCGGATATATATAGATATATAAATATATATAAATATGAACATATAAATTCAATTATACTCTTCATATCTAAAATGAATTAAACAAGATTTATTAAATAAGCTCAAAAACATGAAGCATAAATAAAAAAAATGCATTTTATTATTATGTCAATTTAAATTGCAACTCAGAATCTCCATAAGCATATCTCTCAATGACATTGAACTCATATTTTTCAAATTCAACTACATTAAAATGACATATGTCACATTCTCTAATTTATTATTCCACAAATTGGTTCAGTATTGGAAACTAAGAGATCATTGTAGAAGAGTATACTAACAAATAAAATTACAAAAAGTTTTTAAAATGAGTTTTATATTTTTTTTGATATTATGAAACAATTTTTTTTTAAAAAAAATGCATGACCCGATCGGGTCACCGGGTTTGGCCGGTTTTGTCCGGGTTTGCCCGGATCGATGCATGGCCGGTCCAATACTTAAATCGAACCGGTCTAATGACCGGTTCACCGGGTATCGGGTCGTGGCGGGTTTTACAACAGTGCCATCAACGGTTGAGATGTGGTATAAGACTAGTTAGTCTTACACTAGTGTAAAAAGAATCTGTCCATATATATATATATATATATAAATTTATATATATACAGAAAAATATTTATGTAGTTACTGCAGATAAGTTATCTGCATTTACTCCGAAAATGATATCGTTTTGGGATTGAAATATTAAAAAATTATAATTATAAAGACTTTGATAACCCTAAAATAAATTAAAATTACAAAAACACCATGATTTCCATCCTAAAACGACGTCGTATTGGGCTTACTACAGATAACTTATATGCAGTAATTGCAGAAAAAGAAAACCCAAATCCTTTGATACCGATGTTAAATTTTAAATTTTGACACTAAATCCTAACCTTTGATTTCCGTCAATCAACAGTTATCATTTATTGAGAATTAAACTTATTAATTAATATTAATTTTCAATAAATGATAATTGTTGATTGGCAAAAATCAACAAATATATTGATTACTATCATTTCCCAATATATATATATATATATATGGGGATTACTTCTCTCATGTAGTATGAGAGAAGTTCTCTCATGTCAAGAGATAAATAAAATGGATCCCATCAATTTAAAAAAAAAATAGGAAAAAAATAGGCACGTTTTTTCGAAGTGAGAGTAACATGAGATATGAATCTCATGCTACATAAGAGTACGATTTCCCTATATATATATATATATATTTATATATATATATAGGGATATATTTCTCTTATGTTGTAGGAAAAAAAGTTACCTCATGTTGTAAAAATAAAAATATAAGTGGGACCCATAGGTAAGAGGAGAGAAAAAAGGAGTGGTGGGATCCAACCTCTTTTTGTGTGTAGAAAAGTTGTTTATCTAATATAAAATGAGATAAACATAACCTATATATATATATATATATATATATATATATATATATGAGGTAGGATCCTTTGACACCGGTGTCAAATTTGAAGTTTGACACCTCATCTGAGAGTCGTTAGATCAAAAAAGATCAATGGTATCACAGGCTTACAAATCAGAGTCGTTGATCTTTTTTGATCTAACGGCTCTCAGATGAGGTGTCAAACTTCAAATTTGATACCAGTGTCAAAGGATCCTACCTCTATATATATATATATATATATATTGAGTATTGATGTTCGGAGCAAAATAGAGGTGGTAAATGTTTGGAGACGGCAAGTAACACGTTTTGTTGGGCCTTTTACTAGGACGTGGTTCCTCTACAAACTTGGTTCATCCTCCATTGGGCCCAATAGGCCAGTCCATGTATTGCCGGTGGATGGGTTTCAAGTAGGTAGATGGTTCTCTCACATTGAAACTTCAGTGGCTCCACATGGCAGTAGGGAGAGGCACGTCCAAATCAATTAGCAAAATAGGCTTTCAATGATATCTAACGAGGAGATCATAGGAGAGTTCGGCTAATATAGTAGAAATAATAGCCATCGGATTGTGTTTTGGTTTTTTTTCTCAAATTTATTTTATAGAATAGTAATAAGATGGATATTTTCTGTATTTTTTAAAAAAAAATTAAGAATAAAATCATAAAACTGAAACAACTGAAAGTTAATAGATATATTTTTTAAGATTACTTTTAGAAAACAGGTATTATCAAATAGATTTTATTTATTTATTTTTTTAAAATTAAAAATTAATTTTGCAAATAAAATTCATACAAGCCCTTAGTCTCGATTCTAATAATTTCACATGAAGCTTCTTTTACTTTTAAGCAGTGTGTAAAAACTCGGCCCGGCCATCGACTCAGCCGAGGTCACGGATTATGGGATCACTTGATCACTGGTTCAACCGAGGTATCACGAGATCACTTCACTGACCCAGATTTATACATTAAAAAAATATAAATATAAATTCTATATGAAAAATAAAAAAAAAAATCAAACCACCAATCATTAAAGATTCAAAATATACTTCACATAATTCAATCAATCATATCCACAAGTCAATATTCACAAGCTAATCAAAGTATCAAAATATAAAACACATATTATAATAGAGTTAATGAAAATTTATAACATCAAACTCATGCCCTTATTGTCCTTCTCATGCACCTACAACAGTATGTGAAAGGAGATCCCTTACCCAATAGAGAATAACGAAGGAGAGGCGGCGACACGACAAATTAATCGTGGGGAGAGAAAAACTAGCTCGGTTGAGAAGATCACCGGAACAGGGAGACTGGGTCTGAGTCTGGGAGAAAAGATCGGAAGAGAAGAAGAAGAACGATTCAGATTTCAGATCTAGTTCAAAATCTAGGCAGCACCGAGATTTTTTTTTTTTAACACATCAAACAACGTCATTTCGTGTATAATTTTTTTTAAAAAAACTACAGTGACCCTTTTGACCCCTCTGACCCAAAGTCACGGGTTCAACCGTGGGGTTTCGAGGCTTAGAGGGGTCAACGTGCAAGTAGGGTCTAACTACTAACCTGAACTCTCAGAGAGAGAGAGTCAGTGACTCGGAAGGGTCGATCCCGGGGTGGGCGGGATTTTAAAACACTACTTTTAAATAGA